TCCCTCAGGTTCAGGGGAATGAGGCCCATTTCTATTACTGTTTTTGGCGTGAAGACACCCAACGTGCAGCTTGCCAGGCTCTGACGTGGGGGCTATTGACTCCGGGGGCTTGCCAGGCTATCCCGAAGTGGACAAGGGGCTTTGTTTTTGGAGGCGGCCCCGAATCGCCTCCCAGATACTTCCCAGTGTGACTTGATCGTCACTCGAATGCAATTGGCCGAGTCGATGGGCAGGATACCAACTGCACCCACAGACTCTCCACACACGTATGCGTGGATCGCCAGCGAGGTACAGAGGGTATATCGACCCAGCACAGCAGAATCAAGGAGTCCATCCCCTGAATCCACCTGCGTCTCTGGGCAAGTACCGGTGACTTTTGGTCGGCGATTAATTCCCCTATCCGCCACCTGGGGACGCCCTACGTAGCCTCGTCACTAACCGGCTGGGGATCCTTCAGTGAGAGAGAACCCTCAGTGAAAGGAGATCCGTAGCCTTTTCTACATACATACATAAAATAAGTTTTACATAAAATCAACTAAATACATGTTCTGAACTTTCACCAGCAATCTTTTGCATCACAGCGGTGGGAAATGAATTACCGTGGTGGAGAAAGTGAGTGGCTTATGGAGTTCGGAACTATTCTACGAATTACCATGCCCTTTAACCCGCGCAAAGAAGATTTTTGTCTTAGATTTTCTACTCTTCTTTAAGTTTGGGATTTCCCTTTTTTCGGGTGCGTACTCTTTTTTTGTAACATTTTTAAACTGCTGTTAGGGACGTTCCAAAAAAGTCAGTAGGATAAAGTGCAGGATAAGCTTGAGACAAGCTGAATCCCTGCCCAATTGTTCATTTTAGGGGCCATGACGCGTTTGAGCAGTCCAGCAATGAATATGGATGAAACACGGCGATTTCTCAGAAGGTCAGATCGCCAAGTTTATAAGCCACAATCTTTCCTGTAAGTATCATTCAAGATCATTTTTTCATATACAAGAGTCACTTATAGAGTAATGCAACTATTAGGTGGCTGTTCATTAGAATAGAATCGAAGCCGGTTGGTATCAAAACTTTGATGGTGAGTGCGGTGACAGCTCACACGGATTTCAGTAGCGACTACACATTTCCTTCGGTGTCGTTGACTGAAATGCAGCCATTGGGAAATAACAAATGAAAGATGAACAGCACTTTGTAGAAGAAATGAATCGGCTGACGAACTAAGTATTCCTTTAACTCATTGAAAATATCTACAACTTATCAAAACATTTCAGTGATCAGTTTGAGTGCAAGAAGGATTTGAAAACTCGGGAAACGATCATGGCTATGACAAACACTTCCCTAGTAAGTTTGTACCATTTTGAAAATGGTTCGGAAGTGAGGTTCAAGGAGAGATGTTGATTTTTTCGCAATGGGTAGTACTAGGTTGCGTAACAATTCTGTGCAGGCCAATTCTGTGAATGGGATCGGGATTGTGGCCCGGAAGTCGTTTCTGAAGGGGGTTGTAGGTTTACTTTTGTGAAATATTCACGTAAAAAGCTATTTAAGTAATGGTTTCCTAATTTCGAGTTTTCAGCAACCCTAATTCCCCTCCTCTCACCTTCACGCTCTTTCGGAAAGGATTCGTGCTGGCAGCTACGTTATTCTTTACACTTTCCTGACTTTGTCTTGAAACGGGAAAAGGAATTTTAATGTGTCGTAGTAAGAGGTGATTCCTTGTTATGAATCATAAGCTTTTATTAGTTTGCCTGAAGTGGCTCATAGGCCTTGGACGAAGACGATCTAAACAAATATTGCTTGCATTGAACATCCGTTTTTATTACCCTCAACTCCGCCTTCGTCGTTTTTCAGTTTTGGTAATACAAACATTAGAATGACTTTTTTCGCCGAAATCGTACCGTTTCAAATCGTTTGTGGAGAGTTTTTGCGGTACTTACGTGATGTGTGGAACGACGTTCTTCGCATCTCAAAGGCTTTTTCAGGAACAAAAAAATCTGATTAAAAGATTTTATTTGAAGAGACTAATTGTAATGCTGAAAAAGAGTGACGTACTGGCTACCCAAGATAGTTTTTTTGCAAGTTTTGACCTTTCCGATTGCTCTCACCTGTCCCTACCAATTGTTAAGATACAGTCTCTTGTTTTGTAACCTCTATGTCAGCTCAAAATGATAGTTTTCTTTCGCACCATTTTTGCCTTTGCCTTCCTTCCTCGTTCCTGGGCTCTCATTCCTTTTTTACATCTACTGCTTGATATATTGTTGAAGTGTCCATTGCTGCCCCTCTAGTCATCCTTTTCATCTACGATCATGCACTGGCTGATACCAAGCAAACAAAGCGTCTTACATATTCAGTTGAGTGGTGGGGACCTGTTCCATTGAGCTGCGCCACGCATCCACTTTGTACATATGTTCGCGAAGGTGTCCAAATGGGTACTGGATCTACACAGCCCTGCACAGTTGCTGCGCTGCCTATGTAGTGAGTATGTAGAGGCCAACTTCAGGGCTTCAAGGGAAGTCGAGACATAATGTATCCGAAGCGACTTGAAAGGCTATGAAGTTGTCAGCTTCCCTATCTCGAACGAAATTCATTGCCCATACTCACGTGAGAAATGATAGAGATCAGAATAGTTGTAGAGTTGACTGTTTGCTCACAAGACGGTGCAAGTCAGTATACCTTACTTCTTCAAAAATCTTTATGGGTCTTTACAGATCTGGGTACTGTTCTTGCCGTGCAGAGACGAATGCTCGTCATTTTGCTAGTGGCGTTTTTGGCTCAAAGTCCTTCGATTACAAGTTTGTCTTCGTGGTTCTTAGACTTTGGTACTCTTGTTATACTATAAATAGTGATGTAGTGTGGTATAGCATAGTATAATATAGTATAGTACAGTGTGAAGTAGTGTAGAGTAGTGTAGCGTAGGAAAGGATAGAATAGCATGTTCTTTATCGTCAAATCTAGCTATCGCTATAGAATTCTTTACTGTCTAGGTGCGAATGAGTTTTACTACGAGGTACAGGGAAGCCTGGATGGCATCACCCGCAGCTCGCACAACAAAGAAAAGGTGCAGGAGAAGCTGAATAGTGATGTGAGATATTCTATGAGTTGAAAAGTCGAATTACCCATATAAGAAATCAATTTTAACGTTCCTTTTCATTAGATCTCTTCGGCGCTATCACGGAATGATGTTGTTATACGAGTGGATGAGTGAGTCATTTTTGTTTATAACAAATTTCTCGTTTCGAGTTTAAACTGTACCTACAACAACCATCCGATTTATAAAATAATTAAATGCTGTCTATATCTCGCGTACTGATAGGGCAATGGGGTCCGTATGGGTGACTGCGAAAATGTGCTCTACCGGTTTGACCGATTGGTTCTAGGAACCCTATTCGCCATACTAACAAACGCATGATTAAGAGAAGGTAATGGTTGATTAAGGCAGCTTGCCAGCTCAATTGCGGTTTGAGTTTTGTAACGAAAATATGAACATATAATAAGTTAGTGAGTCAAAATGAAATTTCAAAGGAAGCAGTGAGTGCGCGGAATACTTGACGCGCTGGTTGCCTGAGAGGTGCCATGTACTGACTATTGTTCAGCTGGGAAGGTGATTCATCCCATTCAGGTTCTGTCCAATCATGCCTTTTCAGCTTCAAGCTCCGTGCAGTGCCGACTAAGTCCTTGATTGAGACTTTTTCACTTTGTAAATTTGATCCTGCACTGCGTATTCCGCGTCAAATGGTAAACCCCAATAGCTATGTATGAGTGGGCCAAATTCAGCCGATGTTGAAGTCTTCCTTTTTTAAGCAAGATGACTGCAGCTTCAAAAAGATCAGCTGATTGCTGTGATAGAAAACATCAAAAAAAGGAAATTCGAATAATTAACAGCTATTCCTCAATTGCTGCCTCGGTCTTTGTAAAGAAATTTTGTTATTTTTCCTCACTGATCTTCCAGGCAATTTTTATGCTCCCAAATTTCCGTCCAATTTAGAAGTGGGTTTGATGAGCCCTCAGAGAGTGCAATATTTCATGGATATGTTACTACATCAATATCGAATCGAAGCGATCTTATCGACGCATTGCAGTCCGTGCCTACAATCGTCATTGTATTTCTTGCTTCTAGAGGTGAGTCATTTTTTGTGAACTCAGATGCGTATTAATTGCATTCTCGTGCCAAGGCTTTCGGGCTCTCAAGAGATAATTTACATTCAAAAACACCGGGTACGGTAATATTGTATGGAAATAAGCGTAGCCTTCTAAGCGTGAGGCAACTCTCAGTCTCTTGACGAGCAAATTTTCTTTGTCATTTAAATCTTCCGTGATGATCGATCTTTTTGTTGAAGCTTTTGAAGAGTTGCTATCTTTTTACTTTTACAAATGCTTTATAAAGCACAAATAATTAGCCATCGTTACAAGAGCTGAATTCAAGAAAAGTGGGGTGAAAAATCAGTAAATGAAAAAGCTCTCAATTAAGAAGCGTTGTCAGTCAGAACGGATGCTATTTCGCGAGCAGCAACAACCTCGAACTTAGCTGTAAATGTAACTGCATGTGTCGGCGACAGCGCTCAACTACCAAACAAAACGTGCCTGTGTTCCCCATATGCGTCAGGATCGTACTGTGAGACTATCAAGTTAGTGCTGATCTTGAAGTTTCTGATGAAACTCCCAATATCGATGAGAAGATTGAATTGGCGATTATTCAGATGCCAAAATTATGGTTTAGCAAGCGGTAGCCGTTGCCTCTGTGCTCCTGGGTACAACTCAAAGTACTGTGAGAATCGTGAGTGTTCTTACATTATATTGACTTACTGTAAATAATTTGCCCAGCTTGTAAGTGATATTTCAAGATCCGTATGGCTTGCTATAACTTATTTGTCACGATATTTATTTCAGGTGCTTTCCGACCAGCTATTGAATATGACATCGATTTGAGTTCCCGTTCTCTGGTGATAGTTTTCTTACTGAGTAATTCGATGAACCAAGTATTTCTGGACTTCCGAGCGAACTTGCCAGAGATGGTGGCAGGTATTAACGGTCCAGATAATGACATCACTAGTTATGTCTTCTGGGGATTCGTTAAAACTGGTATGTTGGTTATTTGGCAACTCAATTTTAAAAAGATTGACGGTGATTTTGTAATTATGGAAAAGTGTTATTCATTAAGATAAGGGAGCGATAACGCGATTCACCGTATATGGTCATCAGCTAGAGGATTTGAACCCGGTATTCGACAATTTGGTCTTCACCAAAACAACATCGTTTCAGCCACTCCTTCAAGAAATCATCTTAGCTCAGCAACAGTAAGTTGAGCACTTGTTAGTTGAAAAAGATTATCCGCGTTCTTAGAGCCTCTAGAGATGTAGCGTTATGAGAGCCTGTCTAATGGAGAGCGCGAAGAAAAAAGACAAATGTGTCTCAAGTGCAGTTGCCAAGTGATTCTCGACCAAAATTAGGTTCTGTCGGTCTCATCAAGACCTTTTCTTTTTTCGGACTCCCCATCAACGGTTTTTTATGGGGTAGCAAAAAGCCTGGATTAGATGAGCTTACCATATCCAGCAGTTTTATTCACCCAAGGCTTCTCGGTGCTTGGTGAAAGTTGCTTCACATAAATTTTTTCCCTCCTCTTTATGTGAGGGAGGTAATGTTCAAAGTTTTTTGCCCTGCCACTGTTGATTAAGTTATGAAGTGCCCACCTGGATACTCATGTAAAGATAGTCAGTTGTTTATATTTGGGGAAATGTGGAGGCACAAAAAAGTTGAAAAATTTCGGGTAACTCTTTCTAGACTGCTCTTTCTACGTCCGTCCAAAGGCCAAAGAAGGCCAGCGATAGGTCAAAAAACCTTTTTATGTTGAAGAAAGATAAGAAAGGAACCTTCTTTAACCATTCCACCAACTTCAACTAACCTCAACCATGCTTTGAACTGATTGTGTGTTATTTCTTAATACCCATTCAAACATGCCTCCATATCGGAAAGGATGATTAGTGCACGATGCATCTTGTAAAGTTTTAATTAGTAAACTATGACGAACATTCACTTGGTTGTATTGATGTTGACTATTTGTTCAGGTTTACCAAGGCTTTTTCAAATGTGCTTGTATTCACCGACGTAGCAGCCAGTGATGCGACTCCGGCCAGCCATCTTTGGTCTTCGAATACCTCTGAGCAGACACTGATCTCAATGGCTGCCGTTTGGCGTAATAAGGTGGACAAACATTTTTGTGATTTTTGAGCCATGATTCTTTATATACAGTTTCCGGGGTGTTAATTTGTCAGTCTGAATCCTTCAAGTTTAAAAACTACTCAGATGATTAGCATTACATAGTGAACCAGTACCAAAGGCAATTTCATGCCGTCCATGAAGACCTGTAAATCCTTGCAGCCGGAAGTCAAATGAAACTCGTGATTTCCTTTTGCGTTAGAGGAGCATTTGGCTGTAAAAGTCAATTCATCAATGCGAACTGGCACTCATTTTGTCTGAGAACGATCAAAATGTATTTTATCTGAGTATTTCTGAATAATTATGCAGTCGTTGCTTTTCTAGGTAATAGACCATGTAAATTCCCACATATGTGTTTCTGTTTCTGCTGGCCATGATGCAGGTTTAATCAATGGATGTTCTAGCTAACATTCATCTTCTTCGAATCCCCGACACAACGTCTCGACACTTCTGGCGATAGATTCGACGTGTTCAGACGACTGGCGGTGGCAACTCATGGCGATCTTCTCGTCATCAACAAAAGTGATGTAGCTACGGTATGATAACGCTTACGTTTGACAGATTGCTTGTTGCTATTTTATTGAGATTTCCCTATAAGTTCAAGGCGCTATCCCCTTTCACAATAGGTGTATTACTACAAACATAGGTGATTAAGAGATATCTCGAAATAACGGTAGAATTTTAGGCTACCAACCTCTCACATTCGTAATCGCAGGCAGAACTTACTGCATTTGCGAGAAAAAAAAATATTCTCTCGACATGAGTGTTAGAGTGAATGTTTTACATAAAAGAAGCGAAGGGGATTTGTGGGTGACCGGAGACAACCTGCGCCTGGTGGTCTAATACAAAAGTTGGAAATAAGTAATATGTTCGTGGTTTCTATATGCAGAAGGGGTGGGAGCGACCTAGCCTAGCTTCCTATATTTTTATCCGTTCATTCTGTCATGTACTGCCCTTCAGGCCTCCTCCAGTTGAGTATGTTCTACTCTCAGTTCGAATTTGTTGTGTAATTGACGCCAGCAACAAACCTTGCGCCAGACAAAAACTTTAGGTGATGATGGAAGTATTATCCAATTATAACAAAATGGAGAATGTTGTTGTCCGTTACAAATTTAACTGCACCGATCTCTATGTTCTGAGCATTCCCGCAGGAGAGGATGTGAAAATACTTCTCACTATCGACAAGAACGAAGGTTTGCTACACACTTCCGTTGAAATTACAAAGGACGATGACAATGACGATCATCGATGAAAGATTGTTTTGTATTCAGGAAACCCCACTACATTTATTCCACCTTATGTAGTTGACTTGAATGGTGAAAACTTGACGGAAACATCGTCAGGGACTTACTATTCGGTATGACTTTGATCTTTTCCTTTTTGTATTACAGAAGGGGCGGAGAGAACGTGGAATGCTCTGAATGAATTTATGGAGTTTTTTTTTTTTTGAATTTCTAAGAGAAGTTTGTCATGGTGTTACTGAGTGGTGTTTGTAGGTACATAATAAACTCGAAGTAAGTCACTTTATGCAAAATTTTACTTTCAGTTCTACACACTTCCTAATACAACAGCTTATATCCGCGTTGTTTCGCAGACACCTGGTCTGATCTGCTCGTTGAGAGCATTTGTCAATTCGGCGAGAACTATGCTTCTCAGCTATACCGATAATCCTCTAATCGACATTGGAGATCCTGTTCGTTACGCTGGTGGGCTATGTGATGGTTTAATCATCTATTTATTTATGTAAGCGCTACAAGATACGGCGCTACCGTATTTTGCAATGATAGTCGCAGATTTTTAGCAGAGAGGAAGTGTTGATTGTCAGAGAAAGAGAAATATATAGTTGCAATTAGGAATACTTCAGGATAAAGTTAAATTGAGGCGCAATGTGCAAAATTGCATTTGAAAAAGTAAGCAGGTGCCACTAAAAAGAACCACAGTAGAGCGCGTGGAAGCGTTGGCCCGGCAGTAGTGAGTGGTTCCCAGAATGGTTACGTGAAAAAGGAAGCAACTTACATCTATAAAACTTCCCAGTAATATCAATGGCATTGTTATGGTCAATAACGTTTTTCATATGTTTTGCGCGTTAGCTGTAGACGCATCAATGATTTGATCAGTTTGTAAGATGAAATTCGCTGGGAGAGAAATAACACATGTAAAAACATAGTTTGGGACTTCTTCTAAAATGTCAATTAACCAGCCATTTTCGATTACCCAAAGTGCATCCAGATAGATCTGTGCGTCTAGGTATTAGCTAAACGAGAGCGTTACCCGTTCTCCAGCATGACCGACGTTGTTCATCTATTACTTTATCCCAACTTTTTCTCATATCTTTGAATACTTTTATTTAATTGAAGTAACAACTGTTTCCAGGAATTCCACAGCTTGCCACAGGACTTCCAATAGGATATCCCGAGCCGGTAACCATCGTGATTCAACCGATTGATTCCACAACAGGGTCTCCGTTTCAAGAAGTGACAATTGGTTCGCGAAGAACATCGGATAGCACGTTTTCGCTGACTTTCGGCAATCTAAATGAATGCACGCCAGGACCATTTGTGTGAGCCTTTTCTTTTTTTATGGATTGTAAAGGGGTCAAGGAAGGGGTCTGGTGTGCTGTGGTGAATTTACGAAAGACATTGAAAAAGTAGTGTGCTGTTCTAGGCAGTTGGTGCGGCTCTTAAACGTCGACAAAGGGACGACCCGTGTGCTTCCTGCTTATTGTGCTTTACCTGGTAAGTCAGCTGTTGCTCTACAATAGGCTATGTCAAATATGGACTACGATGCCGTTGTGACATTTTTTATCCGAATATTTCTGCCTTTCTAAGCAGACAGAGAACCGTATATGTGACCTTTTCATCGAAGTAGAATTGTTTATACCAATCTGGTCTATCAAGAACATCTGCTTGGGCGATTAGGAGCTTCGACAAACCAATTGGCTTTCGCTCAATTTAGAAACTTCAGTAGTTGCTCACTATATCAAACTTCTCTTTTCCTGTGGCTCGTTAGCTCTCCATCATCAAGGCTACACTTTTATTCCAGGATCACCAGATCTGTCAACATACACTCAATCCTTGTCTTCAACAGAAAGTACCGATAGCGATCCTGGTGAGTCACTACGTTTTGTGCTTATTGAGATTGATTCTTTTTTCCTACTAGAGCTTCGCCAATATTAGAGGATAAAATTCGATAGAAAAGAACTCAAGGCTCACAAAAGATAGGAGACAATATTATCTCAAGATTGTTTAGTCATTAGCGAATTCCTTCGTTTGTGCATCTAAACGCCATATTTAAACATCATACTGCTGATTTCCTCTGCGTCATTTGTCGACGGTAATGATATACCTACCGTAACTCATCGGCAAAAGTTCACTTTAGCATCGCGTCAAAATAGCGGTGCTGACAAAGCTTCAAGGGGAGTATATTTAAAAACGTGCATTCCACTATGATTCATTATGTTACTGAGTGAATCCCTTTCCTTATCGTAAACTCTATAGAGTAATTGTACTTCGATGTTTTCAGAGGGTCATTGTCCACAAATGAATGTGAATGCGCTAGCGGATCCACGACAACATGCGTTCAAACAGGTACTGATCCATAGAGACCCGACTTTTTTGTGAAAGAGGTTCATTCGAATCGTTTGTCTACTGTAGTATAAGATACGGTACATATTGTTAGTAAACTATTCAATGCCCTCAATCCTTCGAACATGTGCTACGCATTCAGATTCGGTTGGAATCGTATGAATGAGCGCAAGTCTCAGATAACGCTTTGGCTTTTGGTGTATGCCTGTTGTTTTTAAATTGTCAGTTCCGTCATCATTAGGAGATCTCCCATCAATACTGCGAAAGAATTTGCCTGACTGAAGCCGATGCCCTTTTATAATCAATCTTTTGGGATGCGGGAATGAGGGCCTTTTTGGGATTTCTACCGTCTGCTCACTCGTTCATTGAAGCTACGGATGTAAATTTGATGGCACTTAGATTTTTGATGTATATAGAAATTCTGTGATGGTGATCCACTTTGTCGTGTTGCCTTCTGCTTTCCAAAAACCTGAATCTACAGTTGAACTTTAGGTGATTTTCGCCGTAGAGAGCAGTGCAGCGATGAGCACTGTGGCTTCTAGACTCGTAGAAGTTATCAGATCGATGGTGGAACAGTTAGATTCGGATTTTCATTCCATTTCTGAAAGGCAATACTCATTGATAACGTTTGATGACAAAGGTTTGTTTCACCTCTTTGATTCATTTTAGAATTGAGTTCCTTATGATGCTGTTACCGTTCCAACTGTTCATTAATCGGGTGGTACTGGTACATGTTCTCAGGAAATTCCAAACTGAATCGTCTTTCCACTTTCTGTTATAAATGACGAACTACGTTCTTTTTTTAGCCCATTTTTGTACCGAGGGATAATAATCATGTCTTATAATCATGTCTTAACTCACGTAACTCATGGCAGTTTCGTAGATGACGCCATAAATTGAGCCATCCACGAACTTTTTTCTCAGAGGTGAATACGATTTCGAGCACAAGTCATCCAGATGATTTTACCGATCAACTCGTTGCTACTATGACAAAATTGGGAGAAAATAACAATGAAGTCGAACAAAGTTTATCATTGGATGCCATACATAAGGTGCATGTTTAGCTCTTTTGTCTTTATTTTTTGTCCTAGTTTCATTTTTTTTTTCTTTTTTAAAAATCTTTTCTACGCTTTGGTAGAAGCTATCGTTGAACTATACATTTTCGTTTACTGCTTGATACGTATCTCTTGAGTTTTGTTCACTCGCGTCTGTCTATCTGTCCATCTATCACGGAATTCGTTATTGACTGAAAAAGCATTAGAAAAGGTTGGGTCATGTCGGAATGTTGGGTTGTGCATAGGTCAGGATTATAAGATCAGCCCCTAGGCTACATTTTCCAAGGGGGAGTGCTCGAATCAAAGAGTTCATAACTCTATTTTAAGATTTCATTGCTGTGAAGCACGCATCAGTGAGCGTAACCCAGCTGGACTTCTGTATTACACGTTAGATTGAGATATAGCACTAAACTTAACTGTTTCACTCAAACATTTTATTGTCGTTGTCATTTTATTCCCTCAAACTTTTCTTTATTGAATAACTTAAAATGAAGAGTAAAAATGATAAAGTATTTGTAGGCCTACAAAATTTCCATCCTTTCTCCGACGATTCTGTTCCTATTCACTTCCGCGCCGTCGAAACATTCTGTAGACGATGTCAGACCGATTCCAAGGGAGATGCAGGTGAAGGAAAAGTGGATATTTTTTACATGAGAAGCTATAGTTGCTAGGACACTCGACCGCTCACCAAACTAGCAGCAGGTTTTACAGCCATCTGCAGAAAGTTCGACCCGTCATCTCTCTTGTTCGAATCTTTTAGACTTTGATACCACCTGAGGCAGGGGGAAAGAGTGGCATTAGGAGCTAGTAGCATAGTGATCTTGCAGAAAAGCTTGGGAGACTATCCTGTTGAACGGATGAAAGATGTTTTTGAGATGTCCAGAGATCACTGTGGAAAAAGAGAATAAGTCGAAGTTAGAATAATTTAAAAATACTTCCTTAATTGAACTGTTCTGAACCATTCATGAACCATTGTGGAAAATGCGTCAAAAGTGCTCTTGCGCGGTGTCCTGGTTGGCCACTTCTCTTTAACCTGCTGAAGAGGACTGATGATTCATTTAGGTGAACGTGTTTACGTTAGGAGATGGAATGACACTACCTGTGGATGACGTTGATCTCACTTATCATCAGAGGGAAACTTTAGGTCGTAACATACCTATATCGGAGGAAGGAATGTCGGAAGTAAGTATATGTTCTCCTCATATCCTTTTAGTTTTCTTATTTACTGTAGTGCATACAATTTATCACATCTTGGATAGATTTTTCGAATAAAAATGGCCGCACGTGATCGCTGTACCTTTGCCATCATTTAAGGTATGAAGCAAGCTGTAGCGTCTACTCGACCAATGTCTTAGATTGTGAAATTAACCTTGGGATCATTTGACTTTCTGAATGTTTGCTATATGATTGTATATTAATGTAGATTGATTGTAGTGGTTTATATACGAACTAATGAGTGTTAAAATGACTCGGAAAATCATCATAATAGTAAAAAAAACATTGTCAGTGACTCCTCCCATAAAGTTCTGTGCTTTCAGCTGACATCATTGTTGGTTTCATCAATCGATGCGAATTCCCTGGTTCTAGACGACGCAGCGGAGGTAGTTAAATCTGAGTAGTTTGAAGGCTCGGCTGGAAACAAGTCTTGGATAGGTTATCCATGGCTGGTTTATTCTTACTCATACAGGATTGCTCGGAATCGATCGCGTTCAGTTTCTTCATAGAGGACGTAGCCAGCAGTGTGATCATCAATGTGGTTGGATTTGGTGTTCAAGAGGAGAACATGGTGCTTTTGAGTGATTCTGCTAGTAAGAGTATTTCACAAATCATTTTTCTGAATCAAAAAAAAAACACAGTGACCTACTCGGAAGGCATTCTATTCCACAAACCTCATAGTTCATATCACCCAAGCTTGGAGTTCTGCTCAGTTTTCCTCTTCTGATAAGGTATCCGTAACAAGGTAATTAAGTTGATTTCAAACTTGAAAACTGCACATTTAAAATCTCTTGATCGAAAAAAAAAGAGAATACCCTGTTCTAAGAGATCTGAGCAATCATTCTATTCACCTTCAAGTATTATTGACAAATATTCTGCGGCGGATAAAATACCATGAAAACATGGATTATGAATGTTTTTCTTCTAGAAAATCCCATTGATCTCACAGATCTCATCGTATACGCAGATAACAATACTATAGCGCTGGCAATTGGTGAGTTATTTAAAACCGTTTTTCTCTGTCTATGCGCTTTTTGAATTCAAAACAGTGATTTCTAGATCCCACCATGTTTGCGCTCCTTCCAGTACCGTGGTCGCTATCGGTTAAAACTACTTCAGGCTCCTGTTACATTCAGGTCAGAGATTTCTTCCGTTATTGGCATGGATAGAAATAAAATCTTCGCATTCAATCATCTGTGTTGAATAGCTAGGCATAAGAAGAATTTGTTTTGCAAGGAAACAGCAACTTTTGATATCTGTGTGGAGCACTCTGGATCCAGCGCTAGTGAAGCGTTGACACCAGCCGTTTTCCTGCCCCTCCACTAATTGCATAGGGGTGAGAATGTAGTTGGAGAGGCCACTCGTCATCATATCTTTGTCTGCGTTCACTCAGTGACTAGAGCATTCCTCTTCTGTTTAAACCTTTTACATGGAGACAGCATCTCACTTGCCCTATTGCTCTTCCCTTCCTGAAGTTCAGGCTGAAAAATCCATCCCCCTAGCTCAGAATCGCTTCAAACCTTTGCAGACCTGCCAAACGGGGCTCTTTATCTTTGATGGTTCTAGCTGGCGTTATAGAGATAGAGTCCAATACAGAAGATCTCTTCAATTAATTTTCACCTGCTTAAGACCCAAACATAAACGACCCACCACTATGGAGGTCGATCGGCGGTGTTTCTAGCCAAACTCCTGCGGCAAGTGGCTGTGGTCTCTCGGAGATAACCGTAATTTTCTAGTGAATATTCAAGTGTTCCCCTCCTCAGCGCGCAATTTTGCGCGATCAGATGCTTCGAGCATAGCACGCCATTCAGGCACAAGAAACCACATTCACGGGGTAACCTTTATTGAACGGTGCACAGGGGTCCAAAGACTGATGGTCCGGAAACGATTGTCGGTGTTCAGTTATCATAAGCGGGTGCCCCGGTTTCGTCGGCAATGCAAACGATGGCATTCGGTTTCCCAGTATGTCTTGGCTTATATGTTTATTTTTATTTTTAAGGTTCGTGTTATTTCACCGCTCACCGTAATCCCTGGCTTTTCTTCGAATAATCGAACTGACTTTCCAGCCGAATCTCCGTTCTCGTTGGGAGGTGGTTTTACGCCTTATTCAGTTTTTTCTTTCATAGTTTCCACTCCTTATTGATTTTTCGTTTCCCCTATTGTGATAGTTTTTGTGAGGGATTTCAGGGATCGATCATCACACATTCGCCACGCTCCGTGTTTCACCTGCTGATTACACGATTGACCGAATCTCCTACGGCTCGTCAAGTGTGGAGGAACCGTGGAGTGATGTCTACAATATTTCATGGGCTCAGGTTCAACCACGTGACGCCACAAAATGTGCTTACCAATTCGTCAGCCCAAATTTTGAGGTCGAGATCGATATAGTGGTTTACCATCATTTTAAGTGATAACCACGTCAATATGTTATAGATGGTGTCAGCTCCGCTGGTTCGAATGGAAGTTTCTGGCTATTCATCTTCCAGGTTCTTTTTCCAGCGAACCTTCTTCTTCTCTCAATTACCTAAGACAGGTGTGTATTGAGTGTCTGTTCCGAATCCATTCATTTTCTTCAAAATAAACCAATTTGACTTTCATTGTCATTTGTAACAAACTAAGTTTTCAAAGATATGTTGTTTATCTTGCCGCTATCGCGAGAAGTTGTTGTTTTTCTAATAGAGTACTTTTAGCGACAACCTGTAATGGAGGCGAAGTGAATCAGTTTGGCGAATGTGTATGTCCTACGGGCTACGGTGGGGAGTACTGCGATGAGCCGATTTGCNCGTGACGCCACAAAATGTGCTTACCAATTCGTCAGCCCAAATTTTGAGGTCGAAGTTGATATAGTGGTTTGCCATCATTTTAAGTGATAACCACACCAATATTTTATAGATGGTGTCGGCTCCGCTGGTTCGAATGGAAGTTTCTGGCTATTCACCTTCCAGATTCTTTTTCCAGCGGACTTTCTTCTTCTCTCAATTACCTAAAACAGGTATGTCAAGATTGACTGTTTCGACATTCGATTTCTTTGTAATAATCCACATTTAACTTTCATTACTATTCGTAACGAATTAAGTTTTCAAAGATATGGCGTTTATCTTGCCCACTATCGCATCAGCTGTTGTTTTTTTAATAGGGTACTTTTAGCGACAACATAGGGTACTTTTAGCGACAATCTGTAATGGAGGCGAAGTTAATCAGTTTGGCGAATGTGTATGCCGTACGGGTTACGGTGGGGAGTACTGCGATGAGCCCATTTGCGACAATGGTGGAACAAGATCGATGTCGATTTGTGTGTGCCCAATGGGCTTCTATGGAAAGCTCTGTCAGTCACGTAAGTTGAACTCGAAGCCTTTTTTATCATATGTACATATGTATGGCTAAAGGATAAAACCGTTTGATGATCGATGTAGATTAATTCAAAACAACAGCGGTCGGGCTGATTTACTTGCCTTGACTGCTGGTTAGGCTTGCGATGAGGTGAACCACAGCAAGCATATCTGGAGTGAAATATGTGATACCGATGAGAGAAGCTGTCTTCCCAGGGCATGGAAAATATTAAACATAGCTTCCATTCTTTGTGTTCGTATTTTGTAGTGTGCAGAATGACATTGGAACGGCGCACAGAAACAGGACAGAGAAGCATGCCGAATAAGGAAACATTCTTGCAGAACGCAAAACATTGCAGAATAGCAGGGTAAAGATGTAGACTTGGTGACAGCATAGCTATAAATGGCCGGGCCGCGATCGCGATCGCGGCCATCCATAGTTATCGACAGATCGCGACTCCTTCTATACTCTCATAATAAACACGATGCTAAGGTAGTGTCTATAACAACGAACAACTATGAAATAGGGCATTGAACTGATCTGCGATTTAAAGATGGTGCCATGAGTCGCTCAAGGTCCGAAGATACCGCTTAAGCCTGATCGTTTATCTTTTTTTGCAACTGTGGAGCCTCGCCTGACCTGCTGTGAAAGGTTCCGCTTGAACCTATGCCCAGAAAGTTTAATGAATACGTTCGAAATGGTATCAGAAAAAAATGTGTCTTAAGGTGAACTATTTAGAAGAAACGTGTCACCTAATCTATTTGCATTTTGAGTTATTTAAGTCAGTAAATAACCATTCCTCCTATACGTTGAGTACCAAGAACCTGACCAATTTTAAGGTCCCATCATCCTTTTCAGAAGTCCTTACATAATTTACCTGAACCTAGAATGCTTTTTCACTTAGGCAAAATGATGATTTTATCAGAGTGGTGAAAGCTCAAAGGGTGATGAGCGACCTCACAAATGTGTGGTCTTAAGAGAGAGCCTACTCGCAATTCTGTCTTATTCTTCCGTCTCTGGAGGATAGCTGAGGGAGCGAGCGATGTGGTAGATTCCTTTTCTTGTTTTGCAGTACCCGCGCTCAATATTTCCGAGAATGTTCTAGTTGATCCATTTTTTTCAGGAGCTTCATCGATACCCATCTCGTCTACCCCAACTGCTCCAACCGGGCCCACTGTTACAACGGCGACAGATTACTCGCAGGCCTTGGGCTACTTATCTGTACTTGCTATAATAGCATTCTCAATATTCATGTTGTAGTCAACAAAGGGCTTACATGTCTATTTTGTCGAAAATCAAGTATTGTTGTTATTAAGGTATATACAAATATCACCTCAATTGACAGATTTTTGCGAACGAACTGTTTTTTTGGTTCTGCCCACATAAATGTTTGTAAACAGCAGTATTTTACTGAACACTGTGCTGCTAGCACATATGCTTTTGATTCAGTTTTATTTTGCTATTTGTTGCTTGTGATTTGTGTGGATATCGTGTGCGGTAATGCATTCCTGTGGTATGATAGCACACAATTCCTGCTGCGAAAGCGCTCACCCCGACTATCCCCACACATTCTACCTCCCTCCGAGGCTGGACCCTTTGCGTAGATTCTATCCCTCTTGCTAACAAGGGTTTCTATACACCATTACGCGCCTTGCAAAGTTGCCTTCCCTTCCTTGTGTGCTGTGGAGACGAGGGTGGTCCTCTCTCACCTACGTTTTCACCGAGCAAATTTATTTACTGAGGATTGTATATCTGGTCGCCAAAATCGAATAGGCACGTTCTTTCGAAACAACTGCATATAATATGATGAACAAAAATTTTTTAAGTTCTTTATCAGCACGGTTTTGCATCTTCTTTGAGGAAGTGTTTTATTGTGATGATGATAGAAATGTCGAATATCTATCATGAAATGGGTAACCTTGCCGTCCGTTACAATTTTGCGTGTAGTAATCAATTCAAGAGCATTCCGGGTATGTATTAATCGCAGGACAAGACGAAAGTTCTGCTCGTTTATGGTAAGAGTAGTCTATAAGTTTGTTGCGAGACCTTTTCAGGGGGGAAATAAGTTTTTCTGTTACAGAAAATCTTCCCATTGCTGTTACGAACTTGTATGAATTTAATATGGTAGAATGTGCTATAGTCGATACTGTGATATTTATTTATTTATTTATCTACTTATTTATTACTGCACTCGTGGTGCTCCTGCGCCACAGCTATTGGGCAAGTGTGTTGATAACCTCCAAGATAACGAAGCAAAGTAAAACAAAAAAGAAAAAGGGCAATAACATTTCAAAAACACTGTCAGCTCCCGTAACTCAGCCGAACCAGACATAGGAGAGAGTTATTAAGTGGTTATTGGTTTAGGTAACGTTATACTAATAGCATTAGATAACTCAAAAGTCCTACAAGTCCTACACATCGGTTAGGATATGAATCGATGAAGTGAAGAAAGTTATTGTTTTAATTTTGACTATAAAATACGACCCAACTCTGGGTATTCAACCTCCAGTGGAATAAAACCGTTAACTGAGGATAAGAGGGACGATAGATAAAAAGAATATTAAACTATCCGAACCAACAGTCCCGAAACTTGTTTCTTCACCAGATACGACGCTACAGTGCTTCCCTTCAGGCAACCCCACTTTTCTGATAAGGGCCGAGTTAGTCTTGTCCTCACTAACTTCTCAACACAGGCTTCACCCATGTGGGCGATCGATTATTTTGACGTTAGAATGCACATTACGAGATTAAGCCGTTTGTTTCGAAAAACATCAACAAATGGCTGAAGGAACTGTTGATCCGATTACTTCCAGGCCTGTACTGCCACCCTTTGCAGGCAGCCTCCCTTGTTAGGAAGTCTTGAATCAGCACACCGCAATGGCTGCTTTCATAGTCCGCCGGCCAGGGGCGGCGCTCATCACTTGCTTACAACTGGATCTTGATGGGGGACGTGCGATTCGTGCGATTCTGGGCGCGCGCGGCAAATTGCGCGGCGAAATTCGCCATGATTCAAATAACTCCGGCGCCTATCACTGGGACACAAACTTGAAGTAGAGTACTTTAGTAGGTTCGGACAATCCTACTAACCTAGTTTACTTCAAATTTGGGCCCCAATGATAAACGCTGTAGTCGTCCAAATCGCACCGAATTCCGCCGCGCGCACCCAGAATCGCACGAATCGCAACACACCAGGATCTTGATCGATACCGCAGGCCGAGTAGGGGTGTGTGTCAAGACGTGCGTCCGAGGGTGCGCGCGGCGAAGTTCGTGGCGAATTTGGACGACTCCGGCGCCTATTATTGGGGCACAAATCTGAAGTAAGGTAGATTAGTAAGGTCAGCTGATCCTACTATTGCACTGTACTTCGAAATTGGGCCCAAATAATAGGCGCTAAAGTCGTCAGAACAGCT